TCCAGCTTTACAAAACTTTGCCCTGAATCATTATGACATATTCTTTGTCAGACAGGACCCATATTGTTTTGTGCAAGATTAATCTGGTTAGCCTCAACAAAAAACATGGCTATGTATACTATATTTATGGGTAAAAGTACTCACTATTAGGGAAAGTGTATGTAATTATAAAGTGGACACACACTTGTGTGTGTGTGTGTATATATATATATATATATATATATATATATATATATAGTGTTGAGAATGTTGTTTTTCTTGTTTTTTTTTTGTTTTTTTTCAATAAGCAGGATGAATTTTCCCTCAGAAGCATTATAAAGAAATATACAACCCCAGTCAACCAGAAAAAGAAAATTAAATTGGCTACACATAGTTAAAAATAAAACCACATCCTTGACAATGACTAATAGAATAGCTGAAAATGCTCAGATATATAGAACATTTGGACAATTTTTACACACTTTATGTCCAGAAAAGAAAAATAATTGTATCAATGCAAGAAAAATTGAATCAAATTCTTAATCGCAGTATCTTGTCAGTCATCTTTAATGAAACTTATATATAAATAATTTTTTTTTTTTTTAAATTGCTTGGGTGCAACAATTCTGATAGTCACCATTCCTGAATCAACTAAAGATTGTCAGCATCTTTTTGAAGCAATTGATATATAGTGAACTAATGTGATTGTTCATTTTAAATTGCATAAAAATCCAAGTAAAGCCAGATATTTCTAATTATTTCTATATCTTGGAAGATAAGTGATTTTAACTTGTGAGGGAATGGAAGATATTTTTTTTTCCAAATATACCATTTTTAAAATACTTTTTTTCAAAAGTATAAATCTTTGTCATTTTTTTGTTGATAAGAAAGCAGCATGCCATCAAAATGACACTGGGGTACAAATATACAAAACCAATATACCTATCATCACATCCAATCAGATAAGGGTACACCAGACAATGACTACTATTTCTTCTTCTTCTTCTTCTTCTTCTTCTTCTTCTTCTTCTTCTTCTTCTTCTTCTTCTTATTCTTATTCTTATTCTTCTTATTCTTATTCTTATTCTTCTTATTCTTATTCTTCTTCTTATTCTTATTATTCTTCTTCTTCTTATTATTCTTCTTCTTCTTATTATTATTATTATTCTTATTATTATTATTAAGTAAGAGATCAGCATGCCAACAAAATGACACTGGGATACAAATCTCAATATACTCATGACATCAAGTCTGATAAAGTATGTACAATGCACATGCATTACAACTAGATATGTGCAATATGATGACAGCTTTTGATAAAAGCCGTGTATAATCTTTTAGGTAAATCCCATTCAACTAGAAAATGACACTTTTGATAAAACGTGTATAATCTTAGGTAAAACCAGTCAACTCAAACAGTCTCTAATTGAGAGTGTTCCAAAATATTGAGATGTCACTTCTAAGTTGCCTTGATTGTCTCATCTATCAAACTTAGAAAAAAAAAAAAAACTCTTAACATGTAGCCATAATGATCCTTCACTACTGGAAAAGATCTCCCAGCTGACAAGCAAATTTGTGGTACTGAAAGGGGGATATATACTACAGTGCAACTTATTTCATCAAGTCAAAATATTCACATGTTAACACCTCCAATCAAGATCACAGGCTGTGAGAGCTATATCTTGTGTAGCATCAAGACATTATTATTATTATTATTAAAGTTGCAAAGCAGTGGCTCAAAAGTTTGAGATTCTATTTTAAATGTAAAGGACTTTTACATGTGATCAGTAATGGCATCCCAAAGTTTTAGGAACCAGTTCTATAAAAGCAAGCAATCTTTAGGAACATATTCTGCTAATTTTTTTCCAATCTGAGAATGGGAACAAATCACTTTATATGACCAAAAAGAATTAACCCATTTTGATAATTTAATAGAAAACATTTATTTATTAAGATATTTCCATATTGAAATTCTGTTCTCATCATATTTTTGTTCAAAAGTCGGATCCTTTTTGCCTCTAGCGTCATCAGCTGTGTTATGGTTTCTTAGCCACATTCAAACTAAATTGCTTCAGTCCCAAAGATCCAATGGAAGACCTATCAAATTTATGACTAGAAGATTTCTCATATTTTTAACTTCAGGAGAATTTCTTTTGTCTGAATAAATTCTGTTCATCACAGAAAAATCCTCTTTCAGCCTCTGCAGAACTTACAGTAATGGTATTAATTATATTTTTAGCTCTTTGGATAGTTTTGGATACAATGTATTTGTGGTAATTTCTCATTATGCTTTCAGTGTAATCACGGACATCATTAACAGATCTCATGGTGAAATACTTTATAAAAGTTCTGTAACTTCTCTTCAGCATCTTTCTAAGCAACTACAGCTTCCATATTCCAAGAATATTGGTTCACAATATGAACTAATTCATGAATTTTATGATTGCTGTTATAAGAGTTACTGCTTTGTGGATGTGTGCTTATTAGAATTTCACTAGGCATGCACACAAGCATAGTGTAACTAACATTTTACCTAGACCATTAGCTCTTAATATATAAGATTATTTTCAGATAATGCAATAACCTGTTCACTAAGCTTCCACAATTTTATCTGTGTGTCTTTCCACTAGAATTATTAATAAGATGACCCAAGCAGTTGACAGTTGGTATTTGATAGATCTTGTTGCTTTCTTTAAGGCACTTTTTTTAGATTTATGGAATGAGCCTTGTTAGTCATGAAAATCTGTAAAACCAGTTCTTATTGAAGATATTTAGCTTATTTTTAACTTTATAATAAAGAGCGCAGTCAGAAACTTGAAAGCCAATTGTCTCCCTTCAACCTGGTGGAGGAAAAAAAAAAAAAAAAGAAAGGAAAGACAGTTTGTCTTTTTATAAGAGAATCCTATTGGCCTGTTTTCAAATCATTCTTTTCATATCTTTGTTCTTGTTTTACTTGCCTGGAGTCTAAAGATAATATCTTTGTTTCTGCCAAAGACAGTTTGTAAAAACTAAATTATTCCTGTTTATTTTAAACATGAATATCTTTAACTATATTAATGTCTCTGCTTGTTTATTTTTTTTATTTCTTTGATAATGAGGCTGTCATCTTAAAATACCATATTTGCGTGAATATTGTCCTAATTTTTATGATCAGTTTTTATCCAAAAAATAGAAGATTGCACTATACACAGGTAATTTTTTTGAATAGGTTAAAAATCATGCATTTTCAGTAGCTGGTTTCACTATACACAGGTAATTTTTTTTTTTCTGGATGGGTTAAAATTCATGCTCTGGCAACACATCACAGCACTCATTTAAACAGCCTCAGTTTCTGTCAAAAAACATGTGCATAGAGTACTTTTTACTTAGAATGACTTGAATTACCATAACTTGTATTGTTTCTCAATTCATGGGGCACCCTGCATTATTATACTGGTAATCCTGACAAAAATGTTGCCATTGGAAAGGTAATATCTCAATGGTGTAAACACTTGCGAAACAAAGATGAATGCAAATTTAAGATAAGAAATACTCTATTAATTCTTCATTTATATAAAGTATTTGTTGATTATAAGTGGCATACATAATGGATGTATTTTTGCTCTTCATGTAGCAACAAAAGGGAAGAAAATTAGGCTATGTAGGAGAGAGGCCCAGGGTAAAGGAGCTACCGTAGTTGGTTATGAGCAAAAGTACGATATCTGAAGTTTTTATCAGATATTTTACAGTAAGTGATTTTTCTCACCATTTTGGGATGGCTTTGTATAGAAAAGAATGAAAACCATTTATCTGCTATAAAATATGTCCTAAATGATGCCTAGTACCTCAATATTTGGTTATGGTAGGTCTACTAGTATTGCTCAGAAGCTGGGATTGCATTATACACAAGTTGTATGAAAAAATCAGGTTTTTCACAAAAAAATTCAGGGATCACATTATACATGAAGTAGGTTTATACATGAATATATACATTATTTTGTATGATTTTTACAAAGTCAGCAAGCTACTGTTTTCCTCACTGTTATGATTTTTACTTTAAATTATTTTTTTTTACCATTTCCTACTGGAATTTGAGAAGAGATTAAGCTTCAATTTTTTATTTTATTTTTTAGAATTTTGCCTCACTTATTCATGTATATGATTCTAAGCATAATCAATAAATAAATAGTAATTTCAAATCTATTCTTTTATCAGAAGTAATACATAAGGAAATACTAGTAAAAAATCTGCTAGCTAAATTCACACTCAATTCATACATGTTAATCAAACATTGTTAGTAACAAGACATTGAATCTATAAATTATTATTTAGGATTTATGCTCAAAAAGTAGGCAAAATGATTTTTTTGTACTCCCTTCATCCCCAAAAAGAAGAAATTGTTAATATTTGTATCAAAATGTTTGAGAATGAATGTTTGAGGATTTGGATTTTTTTTTTTTTTTTTTTGAGATAACAATAATGGATTCATAATTTTCTCAAGGTTATTTGTGTTTAAGTGACTATAACAAACTTTACTGGAAATTGAACTTGGTTCTGTTTTCTCATTCCAAGATGCTATTCACTACTCCACTTATACATCCATGAATATTGGGATAATGTAGATACTGCAGGTTAAAATTTTATTTTAAAATCTGGTAGGCAAAAAATTTTCTATTTTTTTTTTTTTTTTTTTTTATGTATGTATGTATCTTAATTTTATCTCATAAAAAATTGCTTTAACTTCATCTCTAAAATTTTCTAAGAATCCTTTCCTAATATCATATCTCTGTAAGTCTTTAATGAAAAACTGATTCATATTTTATATATTCTAAATATACTAGGTCACAAAAGACACTTATCTCAGAGAAAGGCATTAAAATTGTTGGGATGTGTGCAAAAGTTTTCAGCACTAATATTTGAAAACTAAAGGCTTAGTACATAGTTGAAAAATAATTTTTAGCTGGAAAGTTTTGTACCTACCTAATAATTAAGTTTAATATTCATATGTAAAATTTCTCCATATTACTATTATATCTTTGTAGGTGATTTGTTTGATGAGGGCAAATGGTGCTCCGATAAAGAATTTCAGTATCATGTGGACCGATTCCGCAGAATGTTCAGACATTCCAAAGATGTTGCTTTCCATGTGGTAGTTGGAAATCATGATGTAGGTTTCCATTATGAGTAAGTATCAATTTTTTTCTGGCTGTATTGGTATTATCATTTTTTTTTTTTTTTTTTTAACCAGATTTCATATTTGTAAAAAAATTGATAGCATTAATAGTTTTTTCTCTCCAAATAAAACATTATTTTTAAATAGATCAGTATTACCAAACATTTGTAATAATGGAAAAGCAAGGATCAGTTCTCATTCAATTTCTGCTCAATTAGTTAGGTTGCTCATTGTTTCCCTCTGTCCCTTCTGCCTTCAGTATGTCCTGCAAATAAAGGATATTACTCTATAATTAGAATTTAAAAGTTTCTCCCCTGAATTTTTTTTTGGTGTGGTGTCGGTTATGCCTGAACATGAATCTCACATTTGGCTGAGATCAAAGTGTAATTTCTGTTTTCTCTTTATTTGAGATTGGAGAAGCTGCCAATTCCCAGGATTTTCAACCCTGTTGTAGCAACTCATTGCACTAAAGGAGGTCAAGTTGGTATAATATCGACACCATTGTGACAGTTGTCATAAGGACTGGGCAATTTTTATCCTTGGCTTATAAGCACATATACATATATATATATGTGTATGAGCACCCCCTTATTTAAAAAAACAAAAAAACTGCTGACACATGAGTTTGGACATAGATCACCAGTGAGCAAACACAAGCAATCTCATTGAATTAAGTAGACCATGTGACCATAGAGGAAACGCAAAGTAGGTAGTAGCTTGGTGTCTAATTGATCGCCATTTCTACTCTATCCTCTATTAGTATATAGATTGATATTTCTACTCTATTACTATACAGATTGTTATTCTCTATACTATTCACTATACTATTTCTCTATTCAGATCACCATTCAGTGGTTACTTTTCAAGCGAGTATTATCGAGCAAGTACTGTTACTGCGAGTGCTATTCGAAAGCATCTGACACCAGCATTATTCAATTGTGTACCATAGTTGTATCTGCGATTACAAAGGCTCTACTACAATAAGCATTACAAAAGTGACAATGAGTATTCGTTGGTATTACAAAAGTGGCAACAAGTGTTCATTGACATCATCAAAAGATGTCAGTTAAATAAAATTCCACAATATAATTTAGATATTCATCCATGCATCTAGTCTGGTGCTTCTGCTATGTATTTAGAGATTTTTGATAAAATCCAAAGAATCTGCAATATTATTGGTCTTGACCTGGCATATCTGCTTCAATTACTTTCTCAATGCCGTAATGTAGCTTCCCTGTGGCTTTTCTATAAATATTTTCATGGTAATTGTTCTAATGAACTTTCCTCTTGTTACTTTGACTTTATGAATTCAAGCATAGTACTAGGTTGGCAACTGGGTCCCATCATTTTAGAGTTAAATGGCTAGATGTAATGAAGTTCCATGCTAACAGTTAACAGTTTCTTCTTTAATACTTCTCTTGCTTTGATCTTTCTTGGCCTCTTGCTTTGATCTTCAAAAATTTAAATGCAATGTCAATCATTATCTGTTATGTCCTTAATTCCTATTCTTTTATTGTTCTCTCTCTTTACTAATGTTTATCTTTTTCTTGTATTCTTTCACACTCAGTAACCCCTTGCATCTTAGTGGTTTTATTGCCTTGTTTGCAGTGAAATGATTAAAAAAAAAAGTTACAAATCACTTTGGGTTTTTTGTCCTTCTTAAATCACATTTTAAGGGTATCTTAATTCATTACCTCTGGCACCAATATACCATTTTTGTTACTTAATGGTTACAGGTAAACAAAATCAGATTTTAATATTGTGTAGATCAAACTGAAGTAGGATGATTATATTTCATGCTGAATACACTTCTTCTATGTGGCGTGTTTCTTCAAGACATTGGTGATCATGACTCTCCACAATATCCTGTCCTTTGTAGCTCTAAATAATTTTTTTTTTTTTTTTTTTTTTGTTGACTCTCTCCCAAAACCTGTTCCACCATCCATTCACTGAAGCTTGTCAGGTAGGTTATACATTGCTTTCCACTGTCTCTCTTGCCTTCAATCTGTCTTGTGAGTACCAAATTTTCCTTTCCTCATTATGTGCCCTAGAAATTTCAACTATTTCATCCTGCTAAGTATAAGAGTTCTTTTTGTCTCCATCATCTCTCAAAGTTTGTTGTTGCTCACATGTTCAGTCTGATATTCTCAGCATCCTGCTGTAGAACCACATTTATCTCTGTACACTACTTGCTCAAAAAGTTGTTAATGACTGGAAATAAAACTAATGAAATGATAATCTGAAAATTATGAAGTAAGTCAAGAAGTAAATCTGATGTCTAAATTTAGGGTGCTTTGTTAGAATGGGCCATTACTTATGTGCATTCTGTGATGTTGCCATGGTGTAATTGTTCCTGTTTCCTGCAATGATTCCAAAAGAAGAAAGACATTTTCTAAAAATAGTGCTGTAAATATGTTCTGCTTAGAACATCTGTACTGAAGCTAATAATTTGATACGTGTGATCATGTAATGATTTCCATGTACTGTTATTGACTCTGTGGTTGTGAGATAACAGTAGCAGTAATAATTCAGTACCACTGAGACATACATGAAGGTGGAGCAAAAAGTTTGTTGTCTGACACAGTTATTAGCTGAATGTTGATCTGAAATTTTCACTCTATAACATTCAATCTGTGATAAACAGAAGTGTTGGGTTTGCTGCATTGACAAGGAATGAAATCATGTTGAAAAATACATATTTGTTGTGTAAAATAAATTCTTTTTATTTTCACAAAGCTACAGGCATTGTAATATACTTGCATATCTCCTTGTGGAAGAAACATTTGTATGTATTGTAGGATTGTCTTTCATACTGTTCAATTTAGTATTTAAACAGTGTATTTTAAGTCTCAATTTTAATTCTTCCTTTCCCATCATTTTTATCAGTATTTGGACTTGTAACTCCCCTATCCCACACCCAGTTTTCTTCTGCGATCACAACTCCCCAGACTGTAATTTCCAAATGATGCAGTTCACAAATGTCTGTGAAATGATGGTCTGAGAGGTTGCAACAAAAAGGAACAGAAACCAAGTTGAAAAACATACCAGTTGAATATAATAACCTCGTCCCGAGTATGACTATAAACTACATCTTGCAGCAAGGCCTCTGATTGTGGAACCACTTCTTAATTGCTGTTGTTCTCAGTTTACCTTGACCTGGGGTGGTAGCACCTGTTAGGGTCCCAGCTATTGGCAAATAGTGAATCCCCAAACTGGGGTTAAAACCTTATGAAAATAAGGCAGTACATTATCATAGAAAAAAATTAGCACCAATACATTTTTGAAATAAATAAATAAAAAAAAAATTACCAAAGCTTCTAAGAAAAATTAATTAATAACCCATAAAAAGTTGATATACCATTAACCAAACCAATGATAACCACCAAATTTTATTTTTTGAAAATTTTTGGTTGTATCCATTCTGATTAGTATGCCCCACAATTGGTTGCTGTATCTGCTCAGTTTTGGAGCATTTTATATTTCTTCTGAGTTATTCATTCTTCCCTGGAATGGAGCATACTAATTTTCACTTTCCAGCCTTGACAGAGTTTAAGAGCATCTACACAGCCTTTTGGATGTTGGAATATTTCCCACCCTACAACCTCTTTGCCACTGATGAAACCTTGTAAGCCCCTTGCTATTTTGTTTCCATGGCAAGTGTTCAGATGCACTACATTCCTAAGTTCCACCAGTTCAGAACTTTACAGCTAAGATCTACCATGCCACATATACATGGTTAAATCATCCTCATTCCCTTCGTATTCCATTGGTAAGAAGGAAATTACATTGTCCATCTTCTTCCCAAGAACTGACACTTTATAGAACAGATTCCTGAGAGGATTCTTCCCTGATCACTGCACTCTTAACCTCTTCAAGTCACTGTTATATACTTTTGGCAACCTCATCTATTTTGAGGGGCTCTGGGTAGAATTTAAGTCTCTTAAATTCCGTATATGGGGATATGTAAGGGGAGGGGTGGTTAAAAGTTCTGACCTGACTCACTTCCCAAAATCTGACCAAATTACCAAATAGATTATTTTTTTTTTTTTTTTTTTTTTTTTGAATGGCATCTTGATTGGGCCTAAGTACCTTTCAGCATTCCCTTTGTAGTAGGTTGCCTACTATTTAGTTGATTAGACATCAGAAGAGTGAGATATATGTACAAGAATAAATGAGGTATGTAACAAAAATAATATGATTGATATGAAATATGACACCTGAAGAGTATATCAGTCAAAATAAACAAAGTACAAAATTGAAAAAAACTGGCCTCAGTAAATTGTTGAATAAAGCCATGTCTCTGTTTTAAGATCCTGCCATGTAATCTATCAAACAGTTTTATTGTGTGCAATGCAGCATGACTCTTAGGACAGATTCGTTTGTTTTTTTGTTTTTTTTTTTGTTTTTTTTTTTTGTATTTTGGTATTAGACAGAATAAAACATCATGGAATCTATTCTATGATTGCATGATATGCTGGATAATGTGTAAGCATGGAAATGATCCCTTTATAGCAGTTCCATAGCTTTAATATAATTACAAATGTCCCTGCCTAGAATATCTAAACAGCACCAATGAAGCATCCAGGAACAGAATTTAAACCTGCAATAAATTTGAACCATCTTGCTTGATAGGAAAAATTATCTCACTAATATATATGAAAAAAACCTATTGTTTTTTATCCATTTAACATTTCAACATGCTTAAACCCACCCTTTAAATATCGGCTCTCAAAGACTCACTCAGTCGCATGACTTCCTGCATTATTTGTGATATTGTTGTCATATATTATGGCAGAGTATATATGGAACGGGTTACGGCAGATTGAACATTGAGAGCTGATATTTATAGGATGGGTTGAATGTTAAAGGATTAAGTGTTTTTGGGAAAATATTTCAAGTCACAACAAATTATTAGCTTTCGTTTTAAAATTAAATCTTGTTTGTGAAAATCTTAGGCATATCTATACTGCAATGTAGGCCCTTTTCTTTAACGATTCTAATAAAATTTTTT